TTCATTTAAAGTATACTATAAAGTTTATAATCACATTTGAAATGAATACTAAATTTATTTACTCGATGAAAAATTCTAAATAAACTTGGCTGAATTTGTAAAAAAAGAAAATTAAAATATTTGTCAATGTTTCTATATATTTTATAGTTTATTTCATAAAATATTATGGAATGGAATTTATATCAAACTTACTTCAAATAACCAGGAAATATTTATGTACGATTTTATCTTCATGCAAAATAAACTGTTTAAAAACACGTGAATTTTTTGATAAATAATTTGATATTTTACAGGCATATTTTGAATTTAACTTTGCTCTTTAACTTCATTAAACAGTCTGATGTCGTTCAACAAAAATCTAGTGAGCAAATAAAATTTTAAAATTGACTTCGTTAATCCTCTGAAAATATTTTTTTGAGATTTTTTTAAGAGGAATTTATTATAATTTTTTTTAACTTATAAAAATTGTTTAGTAGGATCCTGTTCGTTTATTAATTACTTACGTTTTCATTATGAGTTCAGTTTCAAATTTCTGTCTACAAAATTATTTCTGGCGACGATTTGTTTTACTTATGCTGTATTTTATTAAAAAAATAAATAAAACATGAAATTGCATTGATTTCTTCCATTAATTAAAGTCTGAGGTTTGTTAACAAAAATAAAAACTAAGTTTTAATTATGAACAATATAACTCAAGATAATCGGCTTTAATCTTCATTCTTAATTATCAAACTGAAACAAAACTTTTTTGTGTAATTAAAATACATAAAAAACAGAATTTGGTTTTTATATAAATGAAAAAAAAATTGTTTAAATGTTTTAAATTATAATTGTCATATTAAATATATGTAAATTGTCATAATATACTTCAATTGTCACTGTCTATCAGAGGAGAATAAAAACAAAATTGGAGACAATAAGAATGCCTTTATTTAGCAATATTCTCTTTAATAAATTATCAAATTTAAGCGTTCAGTTAAGAAGTTTATAGCAATAGTCTTAGAGAAACAACATTTCTCTGACATTACAACAATACTAGAAAACCCGATACATATATGTCAAAAAGGATTGAAACACTATAATATCTAATTTTTAAGATTATTCTCCTTTACCGAATTTATGACAAAGATTGTCGTATTAAATATATGTAAATTAATTTAAAATATTTAAGTAGCCACCCTGTAAATATAAGGCAACTTTATTACTTGTCTTATGTATTTACGTTAAACATATAGATTTTTCTTTAAGTAAAATGCTCTTACATACTGAAGAGTTTAAATAATGTTAATATTTCGTAAACCTTATATAAGAATATATTGTTTTAGTAAAGATAAACATGTGTTAAATTATGGATAATATTTTAAGATATGCAAATGACAAAATTAAACTTGTAAGAGATTAAATATTAAAATTGGTTTAGTGTTCAGGATTGAATGCATAGAAAATTTGCATAAGTTCATCCTATACTAATAGTGAAATTCGCCCAGTATAATAAATATAATAAAGATCAGATACTTTTTCTTGTTATTATTATTATTTTAAAATGGCTTAAATAAAGAAGAATACTTAATATTGTATTTTCATCTAATTTACAGTTTCATGAAAATGACTTAGATAAGCCAATTGCAAGTTAAAGGATAGAATTAAATCACTTACTGACTAAGGAATAGAAATTAATTTTACATCTCAACCGCAGCTGAGTAAACATCTAGTTATTGAGATTGATTCTTAGCATCACGATTGGTTACTTCATCCTAAATATATTCTACTGCAATATAATCCTTTAATCTCAAATGTATTGATAAAGGCTCGAATGTAATTGGAAAGAGAGAGAGAGAGAGATCATTTCAAAAGTTGGTCCAACATTATCTAAACCCTCTTTTCTCTGTTGTTATAACTTTACAAGAAATTTATTAATTAAATTATTCGTATAATTTTAATCATTAATTTATAATAGTTTAAAAGTAATTTAAAATAGAAATTTATAAGAAAAAAAATAATAACTGTAAATTTATAAATAACCTTTACAAAAATAAAAGAAGAATGTTAAATTTATGGGCTTTTCTTTACAGGCAATTAAAATAATGCTAATTAGTAAGAGATAATGAATAGAGTGTAAGTTAAAGCACATCGATCATAATTTAAAATTTTTTTTTTTTTTTTTAGCAAAATACATTTTCTTAAACTGATATTATCTTTGTTTAAAATTACATAATTGATTTTTAAAGTGCAAAAGTGAGGATAATGAAAGTAATATTATCTGTGAGTAAATAGAACTGCTCTGAAATTAATGTTACTAAAGTAGATCATTTTTATTAATAAACAGGTGTAAATTTTGACTAATATTTAATTTTTATTGCTTGATAAAAACAGTAATTTCGTTTATAATAAATAACAGTTTCAAAATGAATAAAATAGAACATTAATTAAATAAACAGTAGTTTTTTTTCTGTTTTAAAAAATTATTGACAAAAACAATTCTTTGAAGAAGCACAAATTAATAACTTGATAGTATTGAATTACTTAAAGACAGTTTTGTATCAATGACGATTTCTTTAATTAAAACGCTGTTTTAATTAAGAAGGTGAATATAGCGTTTCTTTAATTAATTAAACTGAAAATTAAAATCTTATCATTCGACAATGTCTATAAGAGCAGGTAAATACTTATCGTTCATATGAGAAATTTGATTCTGACATCCTTAAGAAACTAAAATAATTAATTATCTCCTGTGATTACTCGGAATTGGGTTTTTTTTTTTCTCATGGAGATTTGATTATGTTTGTTTAATACAATGACAGAATTCTGCCGCCCTTAATAAAAGATAAACAAGTACATAAAAAATTAAATTTGGACCTATCTGGCGGAGTGTTTGGTGGAGTTAGTTCTGCATAAAAGGATAAGATATCAAGTAAAGAGTGAGACTAGATTAATGAAGATAACAGCATGAGAAATAAGTTATGAATGTGATGAATGAATGAAGCTTTGAAGGTAACATAGAATATCAAAACAATATAAAAGGTTCAAGATAGCAAATAATAGTGGTTGACTAAAGATGTAAAAATACTAAAAATGCTGAATGAATGATCACATATGTGCTGAAATGTAAAGAATGTAAAAATAAACAAAACGAGGAATATAAGAACTGAATAAGAGAAGAAAAAATTTACATGCAAAGTAATCAAAGTATTAAAAAAATTTAATCTCCTTCCATCAATTTTTTTCGATTTTATTTTGTTTTTTTAAATATAAAAAATACAAGTTTTATTATAAGTTGAACGTGACAATATATTGAAACATTAGATTTTTTTATAAAGTAATTTATTAGTTTGAATTATATTCTTCTGTACTAATAAATAATTTGCAATAATTTAAATATCTCTTTAATGCGAAAAGATTTAATAATAATAAATAGCGATAATCTCAGTACAACTTATCGTAAAGGTTACATTAAACTGTATTTTACTACAGGAAAAAAATATATATTGATATTTTAATCGCTAAGCGAAATTTTGTCATTTATTTCGCGACTCACACCGATAAAACCAATCTTACAAGCTTATTCGAACAAAATTAAAAGTCATTATTTAGGAATTATTTATTTTTTATTATTCTGTTTGTAAACAGCTTCACGCAAGATATCGTTTAATTTAAGATTATTGATTGTATATCAGCGTCAGTATAAGTGACATTTGTCTTATACTGCGTTAGCTCTTGTTGATATTGACATTAATTTTCTTCAAATTTTGTANATAAATCTTAATTAATTTTGCATTTTAATAGAATAATAATTGTTAAATGGATTAATTAATATAAACTTTTTTAGTAATTCTTTGTAGTCAATAAAGACTTATAATATGAATGACTTTATATTTAATGTAAAAATAGCATCAATAAGTATAAAACTGTATGTTTGTCTATAGGAATACAAAGACTTAAGATAAAAAAAAATAAAATAAAAAAGTTTGGCCTTGGGGTTTAGAAAGATGTAGGTTTGATCCCACTTGGGGCCAAACATACTTTTTCTATCTGGGTCTTTGTTTGTTGGTTTGGTCAGACATGTGGTTTGTACACTAAAGTACATGTTTTGCTGTTTATTTATTTCATTCTTTTTATTTGTTGAGATAAATTGGTAAAATTTTATGTTACACTAAATGATTTATACATACAAGTAGCAAACTGTTATTGATAAAGAGTAAATTCTGTTATAATTAATCCAGTTTTAAAGATTTTAAAGTGTTATTCAAGTTATAATTATCTATAAAACATTTATTTATTTTTCTTTATAACCACTTATTATACTTTAATTCTATTTTTATAATAATATAGTATTTTATACCTTTGATTGATTAATTACATAATTAATCATTATTATGATTAAGCATATTGTACTGATAAAAAAAAATCTATTTTTACTGTAACAATTCGATATAATGCAAGTCACTAGATAAAACATTATTATGAAATAAGGAATAAAATTTATCGATAATGACTTTCGTAGATTTATATCAAAAATGGCCTTGCGACAACCGTGTTTATCTACATTTAATAATTTACATTTACAATTATATACATCATAATTGAATTTTCAAATTCTTGTAAATAAATTCTCTTCGGTTCGGTAATTTCTTTTCATTGAATTTAACTTGTCGAGAATAAAAATAAATATTTATTTTGTAATTTTTAAAATGAGAAAAACCATTACTTTATTATTTCAAATTTTTTTTTTAATAATATATATATAACGCAGAATAATCGAAATAAAAATACACGAACAAGGGGAAAAAATGCTCATTTCATATAATATTTATAATATGGAATACATTATTATTAAGTAGTATTGTGAAAATATTGATCAGAAATTATTATAGAAGTACTTATTAATTTTTATTATTAGAATTTATGATTTTTTTTCTCTAATTTTATACTTTTAAATGAGTTCTTGATATTGACTATATGATGTTAAGAGGAAAAAAATTTTATTGGATATTTTCCAACAGCGTAAAAGTGACGTATACGATTATTGGGAATAGCGCATGCGTTAAGAAAGGAGTGCGATCGAATTCCTGAGTGAACGTCAGTGGCACGAGGAGTGACGGAGGAATTAAGTCGTAGCTGGCAAACAAAGCATCATGTCTCTTATCAAACGGAATATAAGGAAAGTTTTGTTTATATGACCTTAAATTAAGACCTTTATTACGGCTTAAATATGAAGTGTTTAACTGTGTACGCTTTAATTATAACTGCTATCGTAACATCACCGGCCGATAGTCGAAAAGTGTTGTCACGAGTAGTTACAACAAAATACGGAGCTGTTCGTGGCCACGTGGTTACTTTACCTAATCGTCATTTGCAACCTGTGGAGGTGTTTTTAGGTGTACCTTACGCTAGTGCCCCTGTTGGGTCGCTTCGTTTCATGCATCCAGTTACACCACCTCATTGGAGGGGGGTCAGGACAGCTGATGATTTCGGTCCCGTGTGTCCTCAGAAATTACCCGATATCAAGAACGAAACAGAAGCGTTAAAAAGAATGCCCGCCGGAAGATTGGAATATCTTAAGAAACTTTTGCCTTTTCTTCGTAATCAAAGTGAGGATTGTCTTTATCTGAATATTTACACGCCCGCGAATGGTAAGTACTGTACAGTACTTTTCTTTGTGAATATTCGCTGTAGTATTCAAATTTATTTATTGAATATAAGCAATACTTATTACGGCTTTTAAAAATAAATATGGTATGAAAAAAAACACAAAAAAGATGATATTTTTCTCGTGAAAAAATATAAGAGGACAATGTTCAATGTATTAAATGCTTGCTATTGTTGAAATATGAAATGAATTTTTGTGATTTAATTTTAGCTACTTAAACATAGCAAAAAATATATAATAAAGTAGAAAAACGTGTTTCAATGTCGCGCGTTAGTGGGATTTCTTATCATATATGACTTCAGAAATTTTTTTTTTTTTTAAATTAGAGTAATTAAATTGTATATTGTTAATGCGTGTGTATGTGTGTTGTACAGAAATTATAATTGTTTTTTGTTTGCATATACATAACAAGTAAAATATTTTAGTTCTGATATTATTGTTCATCCAGTTTCGAAACAAGAAATATTAAATTAATGTTTATCATGATTTGAACAATGTGTATTAAGACAATTCTATAGAGACTAGACTTAGAATCAATTGAAATTTATAAGGCAAAAATCCTATTGTTTTTTTTTCTAAGACTATTTTCACTTTATAAGAATATCAGAATTGAGTATGCGACATTAATTTTCATCCAACAATAGATGTATAAAATATGTTACAATGCACCAATTATACTGAATGATGTTTAAATTTTTATTCATCGTTTTAGATATATTTCATGGAATACATCTTCAGGTAAAAAGTATAGAATTCACAAATTTAACTTTATTGCAGAATCCCAAAGTAACATCCGATAGGAAATGTTGAACTCAATAAATTGTTATGTATTTCTGAAGGTTGGAAACTAAAACGGAAAAGAAATTTTTAAAGTTATATTATAAGAATATTTTTTTTTGTTGAATAGATATTCACTTAAATAATTTTCTAGCAGTGGAATGAGACTTTTTTCTACATGATAGAAGAAGCACAACTATCTTAGAGTGTATGTTAGTAAGTCGACATAAGTTTATATAGGATTAGTAGGAAACTACTTATTACATATCTTATTAAAAATTTATATTTTCTTATTCTGTTTTATATTTTTATGAAAATTGTACAAGGAATTTTAAAAAATTATTAGCTTTATAAATCTTTATGTTATGATAACGAAATATTTTTAATTGGATCATTGTTAAGATTTAAACTCAATCCCTGTATGAAAATAATAGAAGTTTAAGTGTAAGATAGTTATGTTATTACAATTTTCACTTTAATTCAATGGGCAAGAGACAGAAATGATTTAATATTTTTATATATGTGAAAATACGAATTTATATATATTACACATTCGACATTTATGTAGTTGTACATAACTGTTAAAGAGAAAACTACTAAAAGATAATCAAAGTTATATAATACACCCAATTACGCACGTACCACATGACTTACATTTTACATTGTTTAATTAAATAAGATAAAGTAACTAATTTCAGAATAATCTTGATATAAATTTTATAAATTGTCATACAGTATTAAAGTTTAAATGATAATTAGTTTCTTTTGAATAAGCATAATACACTAATTTTCGTAATAGTTACATTATAATTTTTCGGTTCATGTTACAAATCATTCGGCTCTTTAACAATTCACCTAGTTGACTAGTCATGTTTATGACCACATATTTTATAGGTCACGAAGAAATTGATAAATGAGACGAAAATATGATAAAGCTGCTGTTTATTTCGTTTCCAAATGACATTTCCGATAATAAATATCAGTAAATTCTCTTATTGTCTACATTAGATAAAAATAATAAAGTGATTACATTATATTTAAATGTCAAAAGTTCGTGTGTATTTTGCGTGGAATTCAATCATTTATTCGAATTTTATAAAATTTAGAAAAGGATTCATAAATAAATTAATTATTAAAAGAAAGTAATTTCATTACAAGTGAATATAATTTATTTTAATCTTCTATACAATAACCAAATTTTGAATTTTTATATAATAATAATTCAGTTATCTTAGCATTAACAATGCGCCAAAGAGCAATGTAAACTTTAAATTTTCAAAATCTTTAAAAGGAATAAATAGCCACAAAAATAAATTATTTTAATAATAGCATAATTAATTATAAATAATTTTTGATAAACTTGTAAACCAAACTAACATCGAAAATGCTGACTTTAATAGTGATTTATATACAACTAGGAACTAGATCTTCTAATCTAGGAACTGGATATCTAATCTAACAACACACAACAATAACGTTTATAAATCATTATTAAAGTCACCATTACCGATTAACAATTAATTTTACTTATTTTCTAAAGATAATTTAAAATTTTATTGTTCAATGTTATTGGTGTATCTAAGTAATTTAATCTATAGATAACGAGGAATTTGAATTATGTGTTAAGATATTAAGTAATATTTATTCATTACTGTAAATATACTAGTATATATAATTTAATTCCTAATACAGTAGGATCTGTAAAAACACTATATAGTATATTTTAAAAATATGCAAAAACAATCGTTTATATACTGAAAAGTTTCTATATTATAAAAACATTTAAGCTTTGAAGTGATAAACTCATTTGAGATACGGAATAGTAAAATGCATAGTAAAAGCTCCGGAGAGTGATGTGAACGTTGGATATGGAAGAAAGAACGATTTAAGAATGACAAACGATGCTGGTGCCAATACGGCATTGAATATCTATAAAAGTATCGGTGAACACATTAGTGTATCGACATTTTCAGGGATACACCTGGGCTCTACTCATCTATCTTCAGTGTTCGATACAATATTATACAATAGATCTACTGCATTTCATAGTCATGCGAAACTGCGGTAGAGTTTTTATGCAATTGCGAAAAAACATCGATAAAAAAGAACTCGAATCCCTTGCCAAATTTTATCTGGTGTTATGGTTACAAGCTTTAATCTTATCTTATTTTTCTATCACTTACTAACGAAATTTATTTTCGCTACTAAGTGAATTTTCTTACAGTAATTGTTTGAGAAAATATTTTAAAAACAAATTTTGGACAGTACTGAAGGTTAGTTATTAGAATATATTGACTGAAATCTTCAATTTAGATTTATATCAGTTAAAGATTTATTTTAAATTAATTTATATGAGCAAAATTAAATTAAAAGCTAGTATTACTTTTAATTTAAAATGTTTATTTTAAATTATACTATTTCACTTTAAAATGCAAGATTTTAANATTATTTAAAGGTTTTGTAAATTTATTATAATCTACAGAAAAAATATTTAAAATAAATTGAATAGATTCATCAATTCACTTTATTCAATTTCAGTTTATTACTGATTTTCTTATTCTTTGCAAACTATAATTTAAAAATAGTTTACTTATCAGAAATAAATTGTATGTAATGAAGTTACTATTTTGATAAATTATATTCTTTTTCAAATATTCTATCGATATTGAAAATATCTTCTGTCAAGTAATAATTTATAAGATTTAATTTTAGAAGCGTTTTAACAAAAATGTCTACATTCAACCTAAATTATTGATTTCATTTAAATATCGTTTCGAATACTGTAATATATTATTTTAAATCTTAAGTGTTTTTAATTATAATTTTATAAATTGTTTATTCTGAAGTTAAATAAACATGAAATATTTTCGTAAATTTATATTTTGCGTGTTGCTGAGATGAACAAAATTGTATATTTGGATCATATTTTAGCTTAATTTCTTAATAAGTTTAAAAAAAAATTATACAATTATAAGCGTATAAGTATTACTGATTTATGCATAGAATAAGACTATATTTTAGAATTTTTGTGGATGCTTATATTAAAATAAATAAATAAAACTAACCAGTAGCATAAATATATTGCATTACAGTATGACCCAAGACAGGTTAGAGAATCCCATGGATAAAATCAGATTGTAAATGCAAAGTATTTTATTTATTTATTCGGTTTTTTTCTTCCAAAAACGTTTACAAAAAGTAGTTTTACTGAACAGAATATCATGGGCGTCAGAAAAAAAATTCTTGGTTTTAGTTACTACAATATGATGATATGTTATTACAGGTTTCTTGTTTTTATTACAGAATATTCGGATTTTAATTGGACAGAAACTGTCTGTTTCAGGGGAAAAAATATAGAAATACAAAGAGGGTTAGCTTTTGAAAAGAAAAGTATAATTTAGAACAAAGGTATAAACTTTTTTGACTGAAAAAAATAAACAATATTTTTTCCCTAAGAAGAATATTGCTTGTTCTTTTGGGTAAAAATAGTTTTTCATTCTTTTGGGAAAAGGGAAAGAATATTTTTTGCTTTTATTTGTCTCAAAGCCAACTGTTTTCACCCTTCAGTACTTGTACTACGATATTTGCACCGAAACAACTTGAGCAAAACAGTGCTTAGTAACTACTTGCAATAAGCTCAGAGTAGCATTTTCAATATATTTACTTAAAAGCGCCTTAGGGAATAGAACTAAGTTCAAAATATATGAGTATTTTACTTTTTTAAAGAGGCTAACAATGGATCAAGTCCGATATTATATATCACCTCACCCGTGACGTTATTAAGGAAATCAAACAAAACTTTTCATCAAAAACTGATCTCTAAAGTTACATCTGAGACAAAGTATTATTTTCATACATTTGATTTAGATCGTAGTAATGCTTAGATCGTCTTTTTATGTCTTTTCTTCTATGTTGAATCTTCTGATCCATTTGATGCCCGCAGCTTTTTAAAGCTGCTAGCCAAAGCTATCGAATTGGTAGAATGGCTTCAGACAGAACATAGAATAGATCTTTTATTGCATGTTCTGTAAAATATACCAGCTTTGTCCCTAGACTGAAAGTATTCGGGATAAAGTTAGAAAATATATCTACTACCATAATACGGTGGATCTACGTAATGAAGTATTATGGAAATATCTGAGCATAATATTCTTTTTAATGCATACATTTCTATACAAACATGTTTTTTTTTCTATATAAATTAGACAGGAATTATATTTTTTACTTATTTCTTTCTTTATTAAACATTATTTTTAATACACAAAATATATGGGTGTAATTCTTCATTGTTCTTAATCCATGCGTTTAAGGTATTTCATCACATCTAAGTAAGGTGATAAAGTAATAATTTTACAGATTTTATCAACAATAATTATACATTAACATAATTAAATGGATTGTTGTTAGATATTTTATAAAAGTTTGTTAAGAATTAAAAAAAAAAAACAAAAATCGTATATATTAATTAAATATTCATAGATTCTAGAATAATTTTAAGAAACTTAAATGGAAACTTAATGCTATAGTAATTTAAAATATTTTTTTGTGATTAAAGAGCATCAGATAACCACAAATGAAAAACAGATTCAAGAGAATAAAAAGATTCTTTTTTAGTAAATAAGTAAACAGAGATGTCAGTTTTTATGACTTTAATAATTCAATTTTAACAAAGATTATCTGAGCATACAGCTACAACAATTTATATTAAACGAAAAAAAGTTGACAGTAATTTTAAAAGTTTTTTATTTTCTTTTATAAATTCTTTAATAAAAAATTAGAGCAAACTTCTGAAAAAATATAAATGATGATAACAATAATTTCAAAATAGAAAAATTTTAAAATATATAATTTTATAGACTATATAAAAAAATTTTTTAAAAATTTAAAGTTGGGAAATAGAAATTTGACTTTAATTTCACATCCAATTTATAATTTATTCGTCAGTTTATTTTATTTTTTATAAATATTTATTTTAAAGTGACGAATAAACTATAAATTGAATGTGAAATTAAAGTTAAATTTTTTTATTTTTTAACTTATTCTAATATATTTTTAAATTTTGAAAATATTATTATTATTGTTATTATTATTATATTATGCGATTTTGAATTATTATAAGGTGTAAAAGAATATATTTTTTTCTTTTATAATTTATTTATGTATTAATGACACTTTCAATATAATAANTAATTTTCTTCAAATTTTGTAATAAATATAATTACTTAATAAACTTTTAAATAACCGTCAGTATATATAATTAACTATAATTAAAATTTTAATAAAAATTTAAGAAACTTGCTTTTAGCTCGCACAGTTTTTTTTTGTATTATATTGTAAAAATATCTTGATCTGTAAAAACACTATATAGTATATTTTAAAAATATGCAAAAACAATCGTTTATATACTGAAAAGTTTCTATATTATAAAAACATTTAAGCTTTGAAGTGATAAACTCATTTGAGATACGGAATAGTAAAATGCATAGTAAAAGCTCCGGAGAGTGATGTGAACGTTGGATATGGAAGAAAGAACGATTTAAGAATGACAAACGATGCTGGTGCCAATACGGCATTGAATATCTATAAAAGTATCGGTGAACACATTAGTGTATCGACATTTTCAGGGATACACCTGGGCTCTACTCATCTATCTTCAGTGTTCGATACAATATTATACAATAGATCTACTGCATTTCATAGTCATGCGAAACTGCGGTAGAGTTTTTATGCAATTGCGAAAAAACATCGATAAAAAAGAACTCGAATCCCTTGCCAAATTTTATCTGGTGTTATGGTTACAAGCTTTAATCTTATCTTATTTTTCTATCACTTACTAACGAAATTTATTTTCGCTACTAAGTGAATTTTCTTACAGTAATTGTTTGAGAAAATATTTTAAAAACAAATTTTGGACAGTACTGAAGGTTAGTTATTAGAATATATTGACTGAAATCTTCAATTTAGATTTATATCAGTTAAAGATTTATTTTAAATTAATTTATATGAGCAAAATTAAATTAAAAGCTAGTATTACTTTTAATTTAAAATGTTTATTTTAAATTATACTATTTCACTTTAAAATGCAAGATTTTAATGAAGCACAGATTGAGTTTCTTCATTATTTTATTATTTTTTTTATATTGCACTATTTTCAATATACTATACATACAAAAAGTCTACATACAATCGATTGGATTATTTTTTTTTTTATCAAACTCCTTTCAGCACACTACAAGCTCTCTAACTGCCTGAAGTTTCTGCCAGGATATGGATAATTACATATAAGTCTGATCAACAACAGTCAGCAAAATTGCATAAGGAACGAATAACGACGTTAGAATAAATAAAATATTTTTATGAAAATTGTACAAGAAATCTAAAAAAATAATTAGCTTTATAAATCTTTATGTTATGATAACGAAATATTTTTAATTGGATCATTGTTAAGATTTAAACTCAATCCCTGTATGAAAATAATAGAAGTTTAAGTGTAAGATAGTTATGTTATTACAATTTTCACTTTAAGTCAATGGGCAAGAGACAGAAATGATTTAATATTTTTATATATGTGAAAATACGAATTTATATATATTACACATTCGACATTTATGTAGTTGTACATAACTGTTAAAGAGAAAACTACTAAAAGATAATCAAAGTTATATAATACACCCAATTACGCACGTACCACATGACTTACATTTTACATTGTTTAATTAAATAAGATAAAGTAACTAATTTCAGAATAATCTTGATATAAATTTTATAAATTGTCATACAGTATTAAAGTTTAAATGATAATTAGTTTCTTTTGAATAAGCATAATACACTAATTTTCGTAATAGTTACATTATAATTTTTCGGTTCATGTTACAAATCATTCGGCTCTTTAACAATTCACCTAGTTGACTAGTCATGTTTATGACCACATATTTTATAGGTCACGAAGAAATTGATAAATGAGACGAAAATATGATAAAGCTGCTGTTTATTTCGTTTCCAAATGACATTTCCGATAATAAATATCAGTAAATTCTCTTATTGTCTACATTAGATAAAAATAATAAAGTGATTACATTATATTTAAATGTCAAAAGTTCGTGTGTATTTTGCGTGGAATTCAATCATTTATTCGAATTTTATAAAATTTAGAAAAGGATTCATAAATAAATTAATTATTAAAAGAAAGTAATTTCATTACAAGTGAATATAATTTATTTTAATCTTCTATACAATAACCAAATTTTGAATTTTTATATAATAATAATTCAGTTATCTTAGCATTAACAATGCGCCAAAGAGCAATGTAAACTTTAAATTTTCAAAATCTTTAAAAGGAATAAATAGCCACAAAAATAAATTATTTTAATAATAGCATAATTAATTATAAATAATTTTTGATAAACTTGTAAACCAAACTAACATCGAAAATGCTGACTTTAATAGTGATTTATATACAACTAGGAACTAGATCTTCTAATCTAGGAACTGGATATCTAATCTAACAACACACAACAATAACGTTTATAAATCATTATTAAAGTCACCATTACCGATTAACAATTAATTTTACTTATTTTCTAAAGATAATTTAAAATTTTATTGTTCAATGTTATTGGTGTATCTAAGTAATTTAATCTATAGATAACGAGGAATTTGAATTATGTGTTAAGATATTAAGTGATATTTATTCATTACTGTAAATATACTAGTATATATAATTTAATTCTTAATACAGTAGTTAATTCATTTTGTATTTTATATATTATTAATTAAAACTGTTATCGACATTTACCAAAATTAAAAATAAGATCTTGTGATACAGTTTATTAGTAATAAGAACAGTGAAATCCACCACAGAACACTAGCTATATACATATTCATTTATCTACTTTATATAGAGGATGTCACTAAGATAATAACTGACACCCCTACACAAGAAACAATAAACTAATCTCATACAAATATATAGTAAAACATAAAATAACAATATAAAAAATAATCATTTAATTAGAATATAAACTGTACATAATTTCAGTCAAGATAGTGAATCAGAATGAATAACAGATGACAACATATTTTTTTTTATTAATAATAAACTTTGTAAAACTTTACAAATATTATAAAAATTCACAAAAAAGTTATTAAAATTTTTAAAATATTTAAAAATTATTTACAAATAAAATATAGTTAATTCTATATTAATTCTGTGGAGTGTAAAATCAAATAATTCGTAAAAAAAATTGCAAAATTATTCAGGTAAAGTTTGCCATAAATTTAATTAAATCATTCATTATTCCAAATCTAATTACTTATATTTTTTTGGTAAGCTTCATACAACAAAGCTGAACAAGCAATATATTTCCATCTGGAAAAGTCGACTTTACACGAATAGAAAGTTAAACAAGGATATAAGAACTTGACTTATTTGTATGATATGTAAATATTTATTAACATAATTAATTCATTTATAAAAGTATATGATGTAAAAAAATAGTGTATTTTTTATTATTTTAAAATTCTTTTCTGTCTTAAAAATTTACATAACTTTTAATTTTCTTATTTGATTTATTTCTTTTATAATACGTAGAAGGATGCCGGAAAGAGTGAATTTTCCGGATCATATAAAGAAAACATAAAGCAATGAAAAGAAATGCAGATGCGTCGTTATTCGATATATTTAATATTGAAGAAGAATTTATTGGATGGTCGCCAAACTTTGCAGATCTTGTCAAGATACTAGAATTAGACAACACGGATTTTTCTTTTGTTTACGCTCTATACTCTTTCTATTTGTTATCAACAGCACAGGTGCTACGGCTCGCACTAGCTAACGCCTTTCTAAAGGCTAAAGGTTGCGTGCCTCTACAACAACAAAAATAGATAATCACTCACTAATCAATTTGTCCTGCTAGAGGAGAAAAAAGATTAAATATCCTCTTCTTCTCCTGATTGATGCCATCTATACATACTGCACCCGAAAGAAACAATCTCATCCAGATACAAGAGTAAAGTGACTGTCAACGATCCCCTTTGCTTTTCACCTAAGTTATAGATGGTATTTAGGTTCTCCTAAGACCATCCTGTTACGACCTCTAACCGTCAGGATCTGTAAGCTATTCATAACAGTCAAAGCTACCTTTTATCGATCATTCCAGTAATATATCTTTACTCCTACTACTATTTATTCGGAAGAATCTTTTTTCTATTATTCCTACTTTATCGTTTTCATTTTTTTTATTTCAAAACGTAAATATTTGAATAAATTAATTTTTAACAAATTACATCANATGTGTATGTCAAGTCTGTTATTTAAAGCTTCGTATATAATATTTATATTAATAAACTTATTGCAATTTAAAATTTTCACGGTGTCTGATGCCAAGTTTTAAACTTAATCTACCAGAGAACAAATAAATACGCATCTACTCACAGATTTGTGCATTTATCGCTTACTTTAATTACTTTAACGCTTCATTACTTTTAATTATATATATCATATATGAAATCAATAACGATATTGATTTTTACATAAAAGAATTGAAGTGAAACGTGGAAGAAAAAAAAAATAGGGAAATTTTCTTTTTTTTTTTTTTTTTTTTTTTCTTTTTGGAAGCAGGAAATATATTCTACTACATTATCTTCAACACAGCAGGCAACAATTTGGTGGATTTGTCTGCTAAAGGAACATACTGATCTTGGATTCGTCTTGTAAGCTGTTAACCACGCACCAAAAGACAGGAATACTACAATATTACAAGAGAAAATTTTCCTTCTCACTTTATGATTCAAATAAAATAACTTTATTCTGAGTGTTTTATTGTCTTACGTACATAAAAATAATACTCATTTATAATCTTGTTTTACAAACGATAAATATTAAAAGAATGAAGTTAAAAAAAATTTCTTTACTATAGTTTACTTGCTTGTAAATTGTTATAGATTTAAAATTAGATATTTGGTTTAGTACTTTCTATACTTTTGAATTTACTTAGAAGAAAGTATAAGTGAATTATAGAGCTTCCAAAGTCTTCATTTAAAGTATACTATAAAGTTTATAATCACATTTGAAATGAATACTAAATTTATTTACTCGATGAAAAATTCTAAATAAACTTGGCTGAATTTGTAAAAAAAGAAAATTAAAATATTTGTCAATGTTTCTATATATTTTATAGTTTATTTCATAAAATATTATAGAATGGAATTTATATTAAACTTACTTCGAATAACCAGGAAATATTTATGTATGATTTTATCTTCATGCAAAATAAACTGTTTAAAAACACGTGAATTTTTTGATAAATAATTTGATATTTTACAGGCATATTTTGAATTTAACTTTGCTCTTTAACTTCATTAAACAGTCTGATGTCGTTCAACAAAAATCTAGTGAGCAAATAAAATTTTAAAATTGACTTCGTTAATCCTCTGAAAATATTTTTTTGAGATTTTTTTAAGAGGAATTTATTATAATTTTTTTTAACTTATAAAAATTGTTTAGTAGGATCCTGTTCGTTTATTAATTACTTACGTTTTCATTATGAGTTCAGTTTCAAATTTCTGTCTACAAAATTATTTCTGGCGACGATTTGTTTTACTTATGCTGTATTTTATTAAAAAAATAAATAAAACATGAAATTGCATTGATTTCTTCCATTAATTAAAGTCTGAGGTTTGTTAACAAAAATAAAAACTAAGTTTTAATTATGAACAATATAACTCAAGATAATCGGCTTTAATCTTCATTCTTAATTATCAAACTGAAACAAAACTTTTTTGTGTAATTAAAATACATAAAAAACAGAATTTGGTTTTTATATAAATGAAAAAAAAATTGTTTAAATGTTTTAAATTATAATTGTCATATTAAATATATGTAAATTGTCATAATATACTTCAATTGTCACTGTCTATCAGAGGAGAATAAAAACAAAATTGGAGACAATAAGAATGCCTTTATTTAGCAATATTCTCTTTAATAAATTATCAAATTTAAGCGTTCAGTTAAGAAGTTTATAGCAATAGTCTTAGAGAAACAACATTTCTCTGACATTACAACAATACTAGAAAACCCGATACATATATGTCAAAAAGGATTGAAACACTATAATATCTAATTTTTAAGATTATTCTCCTTTACCGAATTTATGACAAAGATTGTCGTATTAAATATATGTAAATTAATTTAAAATATTTAAGTAGCCACCCTGTAAATATAAGGCANATAATGAAGTGTAAGATTTTATTTTCTGTATTTAAATGTTATCGTAAACAGCGAAGAAGTATTGTAATGCATAATTACTTTATAAAAGTTTAAGATATTTTATTTTATGATAATTAAATAAACTAAATTAATTTCAGAAGAATTATAATATGATTTGTAATTAAAATGTAAATATATTTAAATTATTAAACAAATAAACCTAGGGCTAATTGTTAAAAAAAAAATGCTCTTCTATTTTTGCATAGTTATTAACAATAGTGACAATGATGAAGTGTTACGTTGATAAATGATTGTATTTATTGGTATGTAGTGTAAATTATCGTTTTAGTTATAATGTTAATATTAAATATAGAGGATTTACATACTTAAATGTCAAATTTACTCTTTGTATTTTCTGTAATATTATATTTTATTGAAAATGTCGTGTATTGTTCATATTAATCAAATCAATTTTTTTTAAAATTCAAATTAAATTTAAATGAATTTTTTACAAGAGTTTTGATAAATAACGAAATTTGAGGAAATTATCTTATTTATAAAATTTTATTGGGTTTTTAATTTTATAAATAATTCATTAAATTTTAATTATATTTTCTTCGATTTATTTAAAATACTTCAAAAAATTAATTATAATTTTTTAAAATAATATTTACGTTGTAAATTATACTTTATACATAATTATAATTTACTTTTTACTATGTAAATATTTTAAAATTATTAAAATTTTTAAATACTTAAATATGAAATTGTAATTAAAGTTTTAAGAGAATATTTTTTTAAATAAGAGTAATAATATCACTGTTAATCGATTTTATTATAAATACAAGGCGTAATATTATTAAAAATTTAATCTGGTAAACACTTCTTATAGAATAAAAGATATTTACAGAAATTCTGGAAAAAGATTTTTCGTGGATTTACGGTTGTCTTTTGTTATAACTTTACAGTTTTGAGCTTTTATGGATAAAGAAAAACGTCTTCATACTACATTCAATACATTAAACTAGTAAACATAGCTACTAGCAAAAATTCCATATAAAGAAATTATTCGAATTTACCTATGACTTATTTAAAATTTATTTAAATAATTGTACTTAAAAATGTATTGATAATTAATTAATAAAATTTTATATAAAATGATAAAACTATTATATTTATTTTGCTTGATTTATTAGTTTCTTTTGTAATATAAGTGAGAATTTTATTTTAGCTTTTAAAATAAAGATTATTTCATTATTAATATTAATGAAACAAGAAAACCTGGAGTTAGAACAGAAATCTATAATTTTTGGCATCTAATCCAGTTCCAAGTCACGCGAACTTGAAGACTTAATGGGTCATTTAAAATGAGATTCTCCCGAATCAGACCTTCAAATGGATTTTACACACAATTTTTCGTTAGGATTTATCGTTTTTGGACACTCAAGAATGTTATATGAAGTAAAATATTTTTATTACTGAAAATTTTTTATTTAAATTCAATAGGCCCTATATTATATAGATTTCAATAGACCTTGAAGTTATATTGTGTTAATGTTCTAATTTTAAATTAAAAATTAATTTTTATTATTATGTACTTCCCAATCTTAAATGAAGATAGGTCTTAATCCAATGGGACAATATGTCTCGGATGGTTCATTTTAATTCTGAGTTCGAATCTTTCTTTTTCTTCTTCTTGCTTTAATTAACTAGAACAAGCAATATCACAATCAACTACATCAAGAGGAAATGTCAACAATTTTCGTGAAGTTTCTAGTATGCTCATCTTAATCATCGAATTCCTAAGTTTAGGAAGAAGTCAGAATACCCCTGAGCTATTAATCGAAATCATAGTTTATTAACAGAAAGTAAATCATAAAATAACTAATATTACTATTTCTACTTACTCAAGATATTGTAATTCTCATAATTCATATTATATAAAATAATATTGCATTTTTATATAATATTCAATTAGAATTATTCAATTTTTTAAATTTTTATTCGTATTAAGAAAAAGAACAACATTGATTTTGATTAATTTATAATGTCTAGAAGATAATTAAATGATAAACTATAATATAAAGTACCTTATGAATTTGTTCTGTGCTTATAAACAGTGTTTTTAAGTGTAATTTTTGTATTTTTTTAAAACTATTTTGGTTTTTTATTATTTAACAGTAACATTTTTCAACAAATGAATAAAATAGTTTAAAAATAATTTATTTTAAAATATGAAATAAATTTGTTTCATTATTTAAAATTACGCAATTATTAAACTTAAGTCCGTTAAAAGTAATATAAAATATGCTAATAAAAGAATATTTTAAAATAATTGCTTAATCTTTAATAAATTACTTTGTAAATATTTTATTTTATGCATTATTTAATCGAAAAAATAATTGAACTTAA